CAGTGATTGATCCAGCAGGGGTCGATTTATTGTGTCTAGTCTACACATAATAAATTGACCCCCGAGCACTCTCCCATCGACTCCTGTAGTCCACATTTGTGAGAGGTAGCAGGATCGTTGCCTGCATTCTCCAAGCCCCTTCTCTTTAGGGTGGGGAAGGATAGTTCAGTGGTTTGAGCATTGGCCTGCTAAACCCAGGGTTGTGAGCTCAATCCTTGAGGGGGCCATTTAGGGATCTGGGGCAAAAATTGGGGATTGGTCCTGCTTTGAGCAGGGGGTTGGACTAGATAACCTCCTGAGGTCCCTTCCAACCCTGATATTCTATGAGAGGCACAGGCAGAGTCGACAGGTGAGCAGCAGCAGCAGACTCACCAAAGTGAAGACACCGCGGTGAGTAGATCTAAGTGCGTAGACTTCAGCTATGTTATTCACATAGCTGAAGTTGCGTAACTTAGATCGATTTCCCCCTCACCCCCAGTGTAGACCAGGCCTAAGTCCAATTTACCTGTTTGCATTATTTTCTTTGACATCCTATCATTTGTTTGTCTTCTGAAGAGTAACCACAATTGTAATCTTTTTGATTGGACCCAATCCTGTATCCTGATTTCACATCCTACTCTCCTTCTAACTTCATTTGTTTTTAAAATCATTCCCTTTTTACACCGGCCATCTTTCAAAGAACTATCATCTCTGATGCCTGTTTCATTTAATGCAGCTGCTTCCAGACCACATAGTAATGCTGTTAGTATACTGTTAGTATCAAATGACACTTTTTTACTTTGGTACCAAACTTAATGTTTTCATCTGTCCATAACTTTGTCAATTTCTGTGCAGCACTTGTAGCAAAAGCACATTTCCATTTAACCTCATCTTTGATTGAACCATCAGTGCTGATCAAGCTTCCTAGGAACATACAAGATTTTACTTTTTCTATGACTTCACCACTGCTGCATTTCAATACTGCCTATAGTCTCTTTTCCAAGATGCAACCGCTTCCTCATTTGGTATTTATTGTAAATCCACGTTAACTATACCGATAGTTCAATGTAGCAAAGGGTATCATTAATTCAAATGTGTCTGTCAGTTGTAACGATGTCATCTACATAAACTAAGGAGTTTAACTCTAGATCACTCAATGTCATGCCCTCCAACTTGTCTAACATTCTTCATCTCCAGCTTAAGAACATGGGGAAAAGTGATGGTGATTTCATCCTCCCTTGTTTTACACCAAACTTGTAACTGAACTGGGTGCTTAATTTTCCACTGACTCTCATGGCACTGCAGGAGGCTTCATACAAAGCTTTGATAATTGCAATTATCTTATCTGGAACTCCATATGATTTTGTCACTTTGCATAATGCTTCCCTCCAAACCAAATCAAATGCCTTTGTGAAGCAGAAGCAAACAGCAAACACCTTTAATCTCCTTTCTTGTTTTTTTTCCCCTCTTAACTGTTGCAGTGTGCATATTTGAGGCAATTTAGGCCTAATCTGAAACCACACTGTTCCTCACTACTACTACTTCCTCTAAAAGTGTAATCTGACAATTACTTTCATCATGATATTTCCCAGTACTGACAATAAGCTTATACCTCTGTAATTACTTGGATTGGCAGGATTTCCTTTCTTCAATATTGGTACAACTATTGCCTTTAGCCAGTCATCTGGTACCTCCTCTTGCTCTCATACCTTCTTGAATATTTTTTCTAATGCTTTGATAGCACTTATCCTGAAAGCTTTTAGCAGCTCAACTGTTACATTGTCTATAGATGATTTAGTTGGAGATTGGTTCTGCTTTGAGCAAGGGGTTGGACTAGATGACCTCCTGAGGTCCCTTCCAACCCTGATATTCTATTATTCTATTCTTTCAGCTTTCCCATTGTTAATTGCTTCACTGCATTTTTTTATTTTTTCTTCTTCTTCTGATGGTGGTTCAGTGCTGATATCCATTCTGCCTTGCAAGCTACCACTCATCTAGCTGTCTAGAATGCTTGCATCTGGATGCACTACGGGGTTCAGCACTTGGTCAAAATGCTCCTTCCATACTTCTAGCACCTCTTTTGGCATTTGTTGTAAGTTTACTGGTAGCCTTTCCTACCGCTTGCATCATTACCCTGATTTGTGCTTCCATACAATTTAACCTTTATGTATATTATTTTCACATCTTGTTTTCCTGATGCCTCCTCTAGATGCTCAACCTCTTCTTTCCAAGACTTTTGCTTGTCCAACCTTTGATTGATTCACTGCTTTGCAGAATGCTAAAATGATATCAAAAAGAGAAGCTCTAGTTCCGACAAGAATAACTTCAGGGAAGCCCTTTGGCTCGTATTTTGCAAGTGATTAGATCAGATGGTCACAATCATCCGTTCTGACCTTAGAATCTATGACACTGAGATTTAGCTCTAGTAATGGAACAAAAAGCATGGACAGTAGAGAAAAAGAAATGGCAGGATTTCATCAGGGCTCGGATGCGTGGGACAACAGAGGGGTTTGTAAATTTATAGGTTATTTTTGATCATTTCATAACCATAAATGTAAATTTTTATAAACACAATTTACTCTGCACATACTGGGCTAGGTCCTTAACTGCCAGGGGCCTAGCCTACAGCAGAGCCAATCTACTGGCAACCTAACAAGTGCAGCCATCTGTGATAGAAGCTGGGTGACTGTGCCATCTGCTTGGTTGGTTGAAGGAGTCCTCCGGCTGAGACTTAAGTTCAGTAGCAGCAGCAGCAGTCCAGGGGCTGCTCAATGCATTCCCAGCCTGCAGCTGTGCTTGGCCCTTTCTCTGCCGCCACTGCCTCTAGCTTTGCTCCACCTCCAGCTAGTGCCTGATCCTGCTTGATCCCCAGTTTGTACCCGATCCTGCTCCAGGCCCTTAATTCTTTCTGACTCCTGGCTCCACCTTCTGACTGCAACTCTGGTTAACTTTTTGGCATAGGTTTTGGTTTCTGATGACCCTTGGCGTCGCTCCTGGACCTGTCTCATCTAGATTTATCTCCAACTGGTGGGCTGGAGTCTTGCTCCAACTACTAGGCAAGATGACACATGCCGTGCTTGCCAGTGTTAGCTGATGTAGATTAGTGCAGTTCATCTGAAACCAATGAAGCCATCCTCAGCTGAGGAGCAGGCACAATATTTTGCATGGTTTGAGCCATCCTTAAGAAAGGAAGGGGTGCAGAACAAAGTAGTAGTACTTCATTTAACTCAGGGCACACCACTCATGCTCCTCCTGCTGCATTTGGGTGATAATGAGTTGATATTGGCACTCAGTTAATCTAGGTTTGAAAAACAAATGGAAATATGGATTAGAGTAAACAATGTGATTGGCCTGATGTTGATTCAGCATAAAACACAATGTTCTAGGAAATACACAAATATCCACCGATGCAGTGTTTGACAGACTGTGACATTTTTAAAGTGGATTTGATAAATACAAGCAACCTCACTGCTGCATATAGTGAACAATTGCATCAGATTGAGAGCTTCCTCCTCCCCAACCTCCCACATCACTCTTTGTATTTCTTCCTGTAGTGCTGCAAGCCTCAAGTACTGCACACCTATGTGCTGCCTAGTTAATTTGCTAAACCTTTCAGGGAGTAAATTTTCAATGTGGCTTTGCTTTTTAAAAAAGTCCCTGTAAAAAACAACAAAACAAAGTCAGAGGTATATAAATATTTATTTAACATCATTTGTTTGAACATTGCAATTACAAGACATGCGATGCAATGGGCAACTAATTCCAATTATCTGAAATAAATAATAACAAAACCAACAAGATCAAGCCCGTTAGTGTGGAAATCATGGCACTGGTGATCTGCGAGAAAACTATTTTCAGATGGACTCGTTACAAAAAAAATTGATTGTTTTATCGATTACTCTGAGTAAATCAAGGGATGCTGCATTTGAAACTGTTAATGTATCAGTGAGAGCTATGTCCTGCTTATAGTTCCAGACATCTGAAACTCCTATCAGAGCCCATAGGGGCATTGCATAAAAGTTGATGGCAGAATATTGTCCTGGGAGAGAATGGTGAATAGGGATAAACCTTTTCTGATGCTGTAGTGGAACTTAGAAAACAACTTCTTTGTCTGGTTAATGTGCTTCACAGTGCGGATCTGTTAGTGAGCACTGCAGTAAAGGAAACAAATGAAAGTGCAGATGTGTTAAAATCTTTTCCATCTAAGAAAGTTCCCCAATGAGCCTGACAAATTGGTTAAAGTTTTTTCACATGAGGGTGGTGGATGTTTAATCACCATTTTCTGAAGCAAAGGACTGCTTAAACGTAGACTGTCGTCTACTCTTAACCCATGACTAGCCAACTTGGGTGCTGGGGATCTCCCCCTCTCAGCAGTCTGCTTCTTATGCCTCTTCCTAGGCACCGAGGATGGTGAATGGTGCCGGGATTCAGGCACAGTAGGAGGCACGCTCCATGCTGATACTGAAGCACTCAGCGTCGAGTCTGAATGACCTAGCTCAGTTGGAGGTCTTAAGGCCACCTCCGTGAGTAGAAACTTTAGCTTGGCTTCATTATCTTTTCTTGTACAAGGCTCAAAGTCCCTGAAAATTTGGCAAAGCTCTGATATGAGCTATCCTGAGGCACTTCAAGTAACTTGAGCGTGGGTCGCTCAGGGGCCTAGCATTATTGCAGGAAATGCAGGCCTTGAAGCCCAGTGCCAGAGTCATCCCTCAACTCTGGGAATGGAATAAAACCCTCAGATGGGGTAAAAACCTAGCTAACTAAACTATTTATAATAGAATAAAAACACAGTCTACTGAGAGTACTTGCAGTTGCAAGAGCAAGAAGATCAGTTCCAGCAACTCTCATGGGGGGTTAAGAAGGAACTGAGGGGAGCTTGGAGTCAGCCGGGCCCTTTATACCAGCGGGCCATGGGTTGAGAACCGCTGGTATAAATGAATATCTTGTTTCATTGCACTGATACCAAGGTGAAATATATGTTATGCAAAGAACAAGTTCCAGCTGAGTTAAGCTTATTGACGCCCTTTGCTGTGCTAGCAATGTCAGCCATCGAGCTTAGAATTTTCACCCCCTACCAAAAGGTATAAAATAAGGAAGTTAAGAGTGTAGATTTCTCAGGCCTGGTTTATTTAGCTGAAGGAAACAAAATCCTTTGGTTCCATGATGATTCTAGCTGGCTGCATGTGCTCTTACCCTCAATAATTCTTAAGGGCTGCACTCCAGAAACAGGAGAACTATATGTTAAAAATATCTGTGCACATCTTTTATAAGGCCAGTTTAGGTACAAAAATTCCTAAATGTGCACACACATGCAGTGGGTACACTTAAAAAGTTCATAGCAGTTCCGGATTACTGATTCTAGTGGTATTCTCCATTGTTAGTACAAAGGAGACATTTGAAGTATCTAAAAACTGAATTCACTTTTAAGGGTCTGAAAGACTCCCATTAACATCAGTGGTATTTGGATCAGACCAAAAGTTTGCTCATTGTATTTACATGTGCACACAAAGCCTGATGGTCTGGGCTTATGTAAAATATGGGCACAGTCTGGTAATGGCAGAGGCACCCAAGTGAGTTCTGAGACACAGCAGGGAGAATTATAAGAGATTCACCACTCTTCCCGCAGTTCCTCTAGCTTCCTGAATTTATCCCACATTCTAGTATGAAAATTGCTAGGAATGCAGCAGGCCTGGGAGCAGTGCCAGTAACCTGGGGTACCCATCCATATGATGGACAACAATTGATCTAGTACAGCACAGTACATGGCATAAATGCAAGGAAGCTTGTAATAGTGCAGTCGCAACAGTGTGAATATATACAATTGGAATAAGGTAAATTGGTTTAACTATACTGACTTATTTACATTTGAAAACTCCATCTAATGAGTGGTTGTTGGTTTTTTTAGGTTTCTACCACATTTATACAAAAATAAACTTAGATAGAAGAATACAGAGTATTTCTTTCTGATAATGCCCAACTACAGAAGCTTTATTCTTCCTTTGTTTTTGCATGGGTCCAATGATTCTACAGTTCTATACAAAGAATCATTTTTGTGAGCACTAAGGAGAGATATGGAGAAATTTATAGCAGAAATGTAGGAACATACATGTTTTTCTTCTTCTTCATCAGACTTCTTTTGTCTGAAGAAAAAGAAACAGTAAATTAAGTTTGATTTTCATGGAATTTTCATGCATGTTTATCATAACACGGATTAGGAAATGCCTTTTGGTTGTCCTTTAGAACAGTTATTCAATTTTGCATTTATTTTTGTTCTCAATATATTTCTATTTCTTTCATGAATATGGGCTCCCACAAGTTCCCAAAATACTACCCATAAATGTCCAGGGATATTAAGCAAAGATTTTATGGCTAAGATGACAAAGTATTTACTTTATATATTAGATAAAATGATTTCAAATGCCACACAAGTTGTAGTTTTATTACATTCTTCTTTTTTACTCTTATTGTCTAAAGTATCAATATAGTGTCAACATTCTGTTATGTAATTGATGAAAAACAATCTGCATTTTTAAACATAAATGTTTCTGAATGTTGATAAAGGAAAACATCGTATAATGTATGAAATGATTATTAGGACATTTGTATGGTGATTTACCTGTCTGACTGAGGCTTCACTGAAAACTAAACAAAAAACAGTACACGCTTACCTGAATTTCCTTCTCTAGATGTTTCAGAAGCACAAATACTTCTTTTGTGTCACACACCAAGGTGTAGCCAGTGCAACCTAGGGATCAGAGCAGGAGTCTGACCTAGTGGTCAGAGCAGAATCAGAGGCACGGTCAGGAGGCAAGCCTGTGATCTAGAACCAGGAACCAGAACAGAACCAAAGGGCAGAATTGGAGTTATGGTCAGGAGACAAGCCAGTGGTCAGACCCATAAGTCTGGAATCAGAAGTAGGCAGGAACTAGGGCTGAAGCGGAGCTTGCCAGGGTTGGAGCAAGGGCTGGGCAGGAAGCAGGTCTGAAGGTGTGGAATGCATTGAGCAGCTGCTGTGCTGCTGTTGCTACAAAAAATAAATGGTGATCTGTTGGCTCTTCTGACCCATTAGGAAGCACAATAAAAGACACACACCTGGCCCATGTCAGCTGGCTCAGAATCAGGCTTCAAGGCTATCCAATTGCAGTGTAAGGGCTCAGGCTGGGCCTTGGGCTCTGCGAAGGGGAAGGGTTCTATCCTGACTCTGAATGTCTATACTGCAGTTTTATAGCCCTGCAGCCTGAGTCAGCTGGCATGGACCAGCTGTGGGTGTTTTAGTGCATTGAAAACATAGTGAGGGTTTATAACACTCAGATGAGCTCATTGGTTTGCTCGGCAACCGAGCCCAGAGGCAGCTGCATTCCTGACATCTTAGTGAAGAGAAGTGTCATCAAACTTTGTTCCCCTTTTCAAACCAGATCCTCTGCTTTATCTCTTTTATCTATAATTTTAGTATCATCTCAGACATTCAACTCACTTTTTTCTCTTCTCACATCTCTTCCATCTATAAATTTGCCTGTTACCACCCCTGCAACTCTGTAAGCCATTTCATCAACTCTAACCGTGCTGGAATCCTCTTCCAATACTTATCTCATCTTGCCTTGAATATTGCAGCTCCTTTCCCTGTGGCCTCTGCAGCTGTCAGTTCTCCACAAAAGAAGAAAAGAAATAGTTCTGCCTCAGTGACACAACACATGAGCATCATAAACAGTGGGGAGTTGGGTGGGCACAATCCATCACTCAGTAAGGCAAGTAAGTACACAACTTAAGAGTTTGTTTTATTGTATTGTTAAAGTAAAAAAGCTGCTATGAACTATCAAAGATCAACAACATAGATTTTAGCACCATTATTATACATATTAACACCTAGTCTAGGAAAACACTGCAGGAAATGGCTACATGAACATCATACATAGCACACAATGAAACAGATCTGCCCATGTTTGGATTAGGAACTATAGAAATCTGGATTGATGATGCCAGTTCAAGCCAGCAAACCTCTCATGTAATACATGACTCAGATACCATGTCATTTCTTAGGTATTCAATACTACAGTGACGAGCATGAGATGGATAGGCATATAGATCAAATGGCTGCAGCTGACCTATGTTACAATGTTCTCTTTCACCTATTTATCTCTAGAACCATAATGGCCTGGTTTTTCAGAAATGCTGAGCAACCAAAACGCCGTTAGAAGTCAATGGGAGCTGTCAGTGCTAAGCAACACTGAAAATTATGCTCTTTGGCTTTAGCTTTTTTCTTTAGCTCTGTGGAGTAAATGAATGTGATTTGAGGAAAGCTTAAGACACCCTGCTCAAACCTTTGATATGGACAAATATTGGATTGCATGTTTACACTCTGGAGACTGTTTGAGACTATCAGCATTGTCCAGACTAGCCTCTCCAAAACAAATGTCACAAAACCTGCAATACTGTGTGTTAAAGGGTTTGAGAGTGACAGAACACAATGAATGAAACCGCAGGATTATTTGGAGCATCAATTTTGAATGTGGTTTACCACCAAATCTCTGAGCACTTGATTTACTGTGTCAGTCAAGAATACAATGGAATATGGCAGTACAGAGTAGTGGCACACTCTGTACGATTCACACTGATTAGGCTTGTTCACTACGTGTTTTCTGTCTGACAACAATGGTATTGAAAATATATAAGGGGCAGCAAATAATTTCTGTGGATGCTTCCCATTCCACAAAGCCCAGAATATTCTGAACTAACTCCAGGCAAACAGGAGCTTGCCAAAACATTAGTTCAAGCAGGTGGTTCCAATTCATAGGACTTCTACCTTCTCTGTGCTTGAGAGGTTCCTGGAACAACAAAAAGCCTCATATGCCTATGTTGGCAAGTGTAAGAGTTGAAAGGCAGCTGTTATCCTCTCCTCCACCCACTGGAATCTTCTTGCCAGATTAGTTAGCACCAGAACTATTAGTTAGCATTTGAACTGGCCACCTGGGAAGGCTGCTATAATAATGCAACTATAAACCATGTGCTGCCACTTATCTTAGTGCCTCTTACTGAGAAAGGAAAAAAATGAATTTGAAGAATTTCTTACCTGTTAATTTGGCTTCTCCACATGTCTTATTATATCCACCCATCCAAGTACAACTTTTCTTTCCAGCCGATGGACGCAGGAAAAGTGTAAAGCGTGTGTGATGTCACACCTGCTATGAAGAGAGGTGCCCAAGGGATTAGATTCAGTTCTAAGCTTCTCATGTTTTCCTAGCTCTCCACTTTTAAAATAATATTATTTAATCCCCTAACTCCCTCTTGCTCCTGTCTGTTGTTACCTACCTGTATCAAAAACGTTTCAGACAAATCATCACATGGGACATTAGAACCCAGTCCTGAAGCACAATTCAACCCAGTCGGTTTTCTTCTCCCTTCTCGCTGTTTAATTTTATTTTTGTTTTGTTATGGCAAATCTTAACCATAGAAAATAACAAATATATAATTACAGAAAGCTGACAAGTTAAAATTCATTTTTTTCCACACATAATATTCCATCTCTTAAATACAGAGTGGCTACAACTGAAATACTTGACTCCCACTGTAAAATCCAGCTCCAGTACTTACTTGCTATGGGTGTAACAACTCCCTGACCAGATACATACAAGCACAAGGGGTGATCAGTAGAAACTGAACCTACCACTGTCAGCACCAAAGCACAGCTATCTACCGTTTGAGGTGAAAAAGAATTCTATCACTAGGCTCTTATCCCTTATATGGACCAGCCACTCGAGGACCTTAACAAACCTGTTCCATAGATACCCTAATGCAGGAGTGAGCAAACTTTTTGGCCCAAGGGCCACATCTGGGTGGGGAAATTGCATGCAGGGCCATGAACGTAGGGCTGGGACAGGGGGTTGGGATGCAGGATAGAGTGCGGAGTGTGGGAGGGGGTGCAGTGTGCAGGAAGGGGCCCAGGGCAAAGGGTTGGGGCACAGGAGGTTGCGGGGTATACAAGCGGGCTCAGGGCAGGGGGTTGAGGTGCAGGAGGGATGCGGGGTGCAGCAGGGGGGCTCAAGGCAGGGGTTTAGGGGGCTCAAGGCAGGGCACTGGAGTGCAGGAGGGGGTGCGGGATGCAGGAGGGGGGTTGGGGTGTGGGGTGCTGGAAAGGGCTTAGGGCAGGGGGTTGAGGTGCAGAAGGGGTGTGGGAGGGGTGTGGCAGGGGGCTGGGGTGCAGGAGAGGTTCGGGGTGTGGGTTCTGACCCGGCGCCAATTACCTGGAGTGGCTCTGGGGTGGCAGTGGCGTGCAACGCGGCTAAGACAGTCTCCCGGCCTGCTCTGGCCCTGCGCCACTCCCGGAAGCAGGTGGCACCTCGTTCCTGCGGCCCCTGGGGGAGCAGAGGGCTCTGTGCACTGTCCTCACCTGCAGGTACCTCCCCTGAAGCTCCCATTGGCTGCAGTTCCCTGTTCCCGTCCAATGGGAGCTGTGGGGCTGGAGGGGGTGCCTGCAGGCGAGGGCAGTGCACAGGGCCCTCTGCCCTCCCTCCCCCAGGGGCCGCAGGGACTTGGTGCCAGCCACTTCCAGCAGTGGCACGGAACCCACAGCACCACAGGGCAGGCAATCCCACAGGCCAGATCCAAAGTCCTGACAGGCCAGGTCCGGCCCAGGGGCTGTAGTTTTCCCACCCCTGCCCTAATGGTTTTACAAAATCACTACAGACCTATCATATATTTATGTCATTCCTGGAGGTATACTCTTGGGCTACACTAACAATAATGCCACGACATCAGACAGTCAGGAATGAATGCTCGAAAGGAGTTTGAATTGTTCAATTGCCATTGAAATCAGTTGAAGTTAGGAGCCTAAATAGAAGTTAGGAACCAGCTCCATTTGAGCATTCAACCCTCAGTGTCTTTCCCTGTCAGTCCTGGAATTAATGGTTGCATTACTTGTACTTCTACGAGTGATTGTATTCAAATAATAGCTGCCAACTCACTCAGTGGAAGTCTGGTTAGCATGCAACTTGACTTACCTCTTTAGGCCCACTACTCAGAAGTGGCCGAAGCCTGCGGAGAGAGACAGATTGTTCCTTGTTTCCAACATACTCTTGATTGTTGAAAGACCGTTTCAGAAAATGGTTTGCAGATGTTAGAATTACAGCCTTTAGCCTCCACCTTTGTTCCATGCTTTCGTAAAATTAGGTATTCTGGGCCACATTCTTCTCTCCGTTACACCAGTGCAAATCCAGGGAAGCTTAATAGGCATTGTTGGAATTACTCCAGATTTAAACTGGCAAAGTTGAGCTCAGAATCTAGCCTTTTGTGTTTAAATTACTGTAACTCAGGATGAAAAATGAAAAGATTCATAAAATATTATCCAGATGATCTGCGCTGATATAAATCTGAAATGCTCTAATTTAGGAACATTACCAAATAATTTAATTATTGCCCTTCTACTTCACCTATTTCTCTTTTGTTGCTTTGTAACTCCCACATCCGCTTGGTTATTTTAGTCAGTGCCAGAAAATTACTGTGACCTTCTTTATCTGAACTCTCGTCAGAGGCTGCCTAGTTTTCTCCAGGTTGGGTTTTTTTTTTTTTTTTTTGGCCTTCTCCATCTCCCCTCAAACCAGGAAAATAGCTCTTGAAAGCAGAACAGTTACTATAGCAACCTCCTGGCAGCTTCCTCACAGTGTGTCTCAGACTGAGCAACAGTGTTGATTCCTGAGGCTGGGTGGGAGGGGGTGGGGCTCTGAGGAGGTAAAGGAAGGTTACTGTGCACTTATTTAATATGCAAAACCACTTACTGCAATGCTGGATGAGCAGTGAATAAGTGCAAACAAAGCTATGCTTGATCTGCTAACATGGACTTTACACACAAGTTGCTCTGTCCAGGGATGCAAATGGTTGGCTCAATGAGATATTTTGCAATAAGACTGCAGGAGACACAAGAAGTAATACTGAGTGCATTCAGTAGTACAACTGTATTTTTGTAATTGCCTATTGACACTATGGAGAGAAAGAAATAGGGCAGTTAAATCCAGATTTCTATCTTTCTATCTTTGTTCTGTTCAAAGGAACATACAGCACTGAATCACAGTGACAGCGTTTGCCCAGAAGACTCAACACCCTGAAGTTCAAGTTTGCATCAATTAAACTTCATGTATGACAAACCAATATGTTCTGATGTGAATGAGTGTAATGTATAATGTGGCTTGTATTTATACAAATCATAAGGCTCAGTAAGCATCTATCACTGAACAAAGGGACAGCAAAATGGTGCAAACAATGAAATCCACTTCCTGGGGCCTGGTCAGGTTGGAAATTGATTCCACAGAGAACAGGGGTCTGTGTGTTGACAGCATTCACCTGCCTTGGAAATGAGAAGGCCATTTACCCTGGGGAGGAAAGGATAACCAACCTCTTGCATAATTGCCATTAGCTCTGCACTGCAAAGAGACTTATCTGAAAGTCTGCAGGAAATGAACTCTGTCCTCACCGGCAGGTGTCACTGGGGTTTTAGGGCATTGCATACCTTCTGGGCTTAGAGGACACAATTCAAAAGAAAGCTAAAGTAAGAGTATTAACAATACTGAATTTAAAAATAAGTTGTTGGGAGGGGTTTCTTCGGTGGGTGGCAGGAAGCCAAACTGTTCTAATGAATGCTTCTTGCTAACTGGGAAAAGCTGGCTCAGTTCATTAATACTGGCCCTTTCCCCCAAGCCTGAAGAGAAGTGTGCAAAATATTGTAGGTCTGGAGAAGCCTCAGAGCTATCAGAGTCATGAAAGACATATTGAGCCCCTCCCTTCCAAAAAAAAATGGAGGGAGAAATATACAGAGGCAAGGGGGAATCATGGCAAAATCTCAGTGATTATCTGAGAGATTTCATACAATATTATAATGTTGATTTGGTTGATACAGCTGCACTCTAAGGAAATCAAACCATGGGTAGATAGCATTTGCTATACACATTTACTGAACCACTCATTTACTCCACCAACCAATCAGTTCACCTACTCATCCTGTACAGAACATGCAAAGAACAGCTATGCTTAAATTTGTGATGTCAGAACGAGATGTTTGAAAAAGTATAGGGTGTGGGAGCAGCGGCGAGGGGGTGGTATTTCAATGGAGAGATGTCAATATCTGTGTACTGGTTCATTCTCTTTTTCTGGCATGCCTGCTCCATGTTTCCTGTCTTTTTAGTGTTCTCAAAACAATTATTTGCTAGCTGGAAGAGTGATTAAATTGGAGTATTGGTTTGTTGATAGAAATGTATCAACATTCTGATTGGTTTTAATAAGCAAAGTAAACTTGTTTGTACTAGTATATATTATACTGTATATAATCATGAAATTGTTACAGTGAAAAATATAAATGTTGCTTTGACTTGTTCAGTGCTTTGATGTTTTATCCAAGTATTAAGGTCCTGAGTCCTATTCCCCTGGGGCAAATATGTGGTTTAGCTGACAGCCCTCAGATCTGTATGTTTACAGCACACAGATTTGTTTAAGATTGGGTGCGATGTAAATGTAGTCTGTGTCTTTGATGAGGGTTATTTGTTCCATATAGGGGAAGGTAGTCTGCAAGTTCTTTAAAAATGTTATACTGTCTTAGATGTTTTTAGATTTTTCACTTATATTTCATGATTCCTATTCCTTCAGTTATTAAACTCCATAACTATTGCCTATTGGTATGACTGAATTAATCTAATTTTCCTATGTTAAGCTCTGAGAAAATGATTGAAATCAGGCTTACCCCAGCCATGAATCTGCAAGCACCTTTAGAACACAGTTAGTAATATATTAACATGGAGAAGGGAAGTGGCTCCAAGTAATAGATACACACTGACTGCATGTGATACTTAGCACTGAGGAACACAGGATTTAAAAGTAGTGGGTCCAAAATGGTATTTTAATCTCTCACTACCTGCCTAAGTGTGTAGAATCTTCATACTGAATTCTCTAATAAGCTGTCAGCTTTGAAGATAAATATTGAATCAGGATTGGTAAGGGAGGATGCACTGTTCACAGAACAGCACTTTCAACACTTTGTTATGAAGCTGCACACAGAGGAGCTTTTGAGATGGTTGCCATTAGAAACTGAGCCATGGTCGCTAGGGCTGTGGTCATGCTGCAGTCCCCACCCCCACCTTCCCCTCAACACGCTCCTCCGGCTTAATTGACTGACCTTGCCATGGTTGGCTGAGCTGAACTTTGAGGCTCTGCAAAGTGTTTTACGTTACTGAGCTACAGTGCTGAAGGTGTGAGCATACAGAAGGGTGATGCCAAGTTATGGGCAGGCGTTTTCCTCAGCTGAAGAGCTGTCCAATCAAACCAAACTTTGTTTGATTTAATATTATCCAGGAGGAACATAACAAATAATAAATCTACATGAAAGAGGGAATGCCTCTTCTGCAGCTGATTTAGATTGGAATACAACATTTACTTCAGGCTATTGTGAAGAGAATGCTCTATTGACCTATTTTGACACCCAGACAGGGAGGTGATTACATCAGTCAGAAGCTGACAATTTTTGTTACCAAATTGACACACTATAATTTTAATAGTATGCTTTCTTTGAATCGTCACTTGACTGTTTTGTATTAGCAATTGTGCTCAACATTAGATATTTTATATAGTATATTAGAGCTCAACAATATGGTGTATTAGCCATCAACATCGTGTTCTTTATGTATGAGAAAATGATTGTGTATGTGAGCCTGATGAAATTTTTCCTGCGAAAGTTTGCATTGTATTGTGATGGTGAGAAATCTTGAGTGTAAAGCCCCATTTTTAGGCTTGGAAGGCTTAGATTTTTATTGGTAAATGTCAGTAAATGTTGATTTCACCGTACACACACACAAACCAACAAAAAAAATCCATCAATGATAATTGAAATGTGCAGATAAGTAAATAAAAACAATGCTACTTGAGAACTTGTTTGTTTTAAGAATGTTTGCTTTCTATATTTTGACATGTAATGTTGACTATATGAATTTTTACAAAGCTTTAATTTTTTGAATCTCAGCATCTCCTGTCACTATTGTCTGACCTCCCCTGCGATAATTTCTCACGCCTGTGAAAAGTGAATTGATAAAAATAAAAAAAGCTTAAAACCCATAATTTTGCACAACTGTGAACACATACATTGAAAAAAAAACCCATAAAAATAAACATTGATATTATCTGTCAGTTTTTAAAAATCAGATTTTACCAAGCCTACCCCCATGTTAGTTTCCTCCACTTCCCAGGTAGGGGTCTGATCCTTCAACAGTGAAGTCAACTGAAGCTTTCTCATTTTCTTCAATGGGAACAGGATGTCCTATGCATCTGTCACAGTTCAAGGCAACTGCACTTGTATTTCTCCTCTGTGGTCCAGCAAGAGCAACCACTCCCGGGCTTGCTGCTCCCTAGCTGTTTCCTCTCCTGGGTGGAGATCTGCATCTCACTCCCTTCTGACTGGGATATTTCCAGGCTACACAGTTTCCTATCATACTGTTATTCACGGAAGAGACATGTTGCCCAAGCACACTGGTTGCTTTCTCTTCAGAGATAGTTAACAGGGTAACTTCCCACAGTTGTAAGTTACCACAGTTTTTGATGCAAGCCTATTTTATTCTTATGGTAAAGCACTACAGAGAAAACAGATTAAAAACAATAAAAACCTGTGCATGTGCTAATAAGCTTACCAGAGATCATCCCAACCTATCCTTGGCTCTGGCAGGAGCAGTCCTTCCAAATCCCACCCATCCTTGTGGTTTCAAGTTCATCACAGCTTTAGCTCAGAAGAAGCCCCCAGTCTTATAAGACCTTGTAGGCCCAGTCCTTCCAACCCTTACCAAAGGATTGGGTCCCTCAATGTACCAAAGGCTGTGTCCATTTGCTGGATCAGGAAGGAGGCCCTTAGCCTGTTTAAAACCAGGCTATTTATCAAAAAAACCTTTCTTTGTTATTTTGTCCATGGAGTATCCAGTTTGAAGTAGTATATGCCAGCCTCTTCAGAGGGTGGAACCAGAGCAGCTGGATAACCAGGGGGATTACATTAGCAACCCCCTCCTCCTAGAGGAGTTACATACAGTACCACAAGAACACAAACACAATTGCGTTCTTAATGCAATGAACCCGAAGGCATTAGCTTAATTCGTTAAGGTTTAACTTAATTCAACAAAGTTTATTTTAATTCCACAAGGTGTGTCCAGGATATTGTCAGCCTGGCACTATATTCACTGACACAGAGGGCCTGATCCTGTGTGATATTAAGCCTCTCCCAAGTTGGGAGGGGAAGGTGCTCAACTCTTTGCAGGATCAGGTCTTGAATTAGTTCATATGGAAGCCATTCTTCATCACAGAGACTTACTAACGGCACTACTTCTGGTATTATTAATACACAGCGGAACAGTAACAGGTATGTGGACCAATGAGGGAAGGGTCAATGGAAGGTGGGCAAAGGTCTGGAAAATGTTCTGCTGAGGTCAATACTGCATTGGGAGCACTGACCTAAGGATCTTAGCCAATTCTAATTTCATCATCTATGGGTCAAACTCTGTGCTTGTGGATCAGCTGAGAGGGATTAGCATTCCCAGCAACCAGAAATCCATGAGGTGGGCTTAGTAGCATGCTTTGCTATTGCTCTGAAAAGGAGCAGTTTGCACCCCAGGGGTGCCCATAACACGGACCACAGGGGAAATTTTCGAAGGCACCAATAGCAGTCAGGTGC